TTTGAGGCAAAGGACCAGCAACGTCAATGGCTACTCTTTCCATTGGTGCACCAACTTGATATAACTTCATTGGAGCACGCCCCTTATGCTTGGGTCCTCTTTTAGCACAACATCTACTGCATGTCCTGCACTATTCTTTCACATCTTGCCTCATACATATTCAGTAAAGTCTCTGTCGTAGGTGACTAAATGTCTTCTTAACTCCGAGATGTCTTCCTGTTAAACTATCATGGGATTGACGCAACATAACTTCCTGTAACTTTCTCGGTATAACTGTTTGTCAGGTCGTCACTTTCCCATCTCTGGAGAAGAATACCATCTTCAAGCTTCAACTGGTCCCATTGTGCCCAATAGTTCTTTGTCACAGAGCTTAAGCAAAACACCTTCTCCCAAGCAGGGCGCAAAACACTTGCTTTTAGAAAATAAATTATTGGCTTCAAATCTTTGTCTTTCTCCTGCTCTGATTTAATATCTATACCTGGTTCCATTTCATCATCATCAACTCCTTCAGTCACTTTGACTTCAGCTTGATCACACCTGGTTAGTTCAACCTCTCTTTTAACACTTACCGGAATTTGTCCTTTGTTGTTCCCAAACGTCTTTTTATCAAAATTATTTACACACTTCCTCGGTAGTAAGTAGGCCAACCCCAGTATGAATTGGTCTTCAATGTCAGCCAAGTATACTTTGTGTCTGTCCTTCATGCCCATGAGCTCAATAGTTACCCACACTGGTCCCCAAAACTTTGCAGAATGTCCTGTCACACCACAGAGCTTCTGCATGGCTTCTGGTACTCCTTTGTGATCTAGCATCTTGATACTCACGAGGGTTTGCTGAGATGCAGAATGTATGACAAAGTTGCACCTTTGGCCATCCGGCTTTCCTGTCACATAGACACCACGTGTGCTTGGCATTATACAGTTAGCTGTTGGGACTTTCACAATTGGGGTTGGTAGGCGTCCATCAACATGAACCACTACTGGTTTCCTTGAGGCTGACTTATTGGTAATATTCTTCTTACACTGGCTCCTCACATGCCCTTGCTCTCCACAGTTCCAACAACCTTTCTGTGTAGCAGCCTTTCCTGCCATGGCATCTTCCCTGAGTTGAAGTTTCCAGCATTGAGCTTTCTTGTGCCCAGGTTTGTTACAGTGCCAGCAAAGTCCCTCAAACCTCTCTGAAAGCTGACCTTTTCTGGCCTTGAATCCTGATTACTGTACCAACCTTGGTACCTCTATGCTGGACTTAAAATAGGTTTCGAATTCAAGAGCTCTGGCCATATGCATCCTGCATAGTAGATGGGTGTACTTGCTTCACTTGTATCTTCAGTTGTGGACTGTCCAAGGTGTCTAGAAACTGATCCCTCAGCAAAAACTTGAGGAGATCGGGTGGAGCAGTTGGGTAGGCCTTGTGTGTCATACTTTCCAAATCCTGTGCCAGCTCTTGCAGGCTCTCCCCTTTAGCACGGACTCTCGTCCTAAACCTAGCCCTGTAGACTTCAGACTGATTTTGGGTTCCGTACCTGAATTCTAGAGCCGCTACCAGTGCTCTATAGTTGTGCCTGTCGTCAGCTGACAACCGTCCAAGTATTTCCAGTGGTTGTCCCTTCAAGCTCGTTGCCAGCTATACTGCTTTCTGTTCCTCTGTCCGTCCATTCATTTCTACCAGGAGCTCAAATTGTGCTCTATATGCTTCCCAGGGATGCCTTCCCATCGAATTCCTGTGGCTTCCTTCGTACTAGTTCACCCCTATTGCTGACACTCGTGTCTGGAATGTGACTTCTAGCAGGACTGAAGATGTCTGCATTAGGGTTTAGCTGCGGGGTCTGGAAGGAGCTTCCCGTTGTCTGAGGCTGATTAGGTCGGTGGCTAATGTATCCTCCTTGTGTAAAAGACAATAAATCATTCTTTAATGCATTTAAAATTTCTTTGAAATTTACTAATGTTTTCCATTTGTGTACTCTGGCTTTCTCTCAACTGTTGGAGACTTTCTTTTTGTTTATTTTCTTTCTCCTCCAGCCGCTGCTGTAGTCTCTCTTCTTGTTCATTTTCTTTCTCCTTCAACCTCTGCTGTTATCTCTCTTGTTTATTTTGCTGTTCGAGCTGCCACTGATGCAAGTTATCTTACCACTGCTGTAATCTTTCTTCTTGCTTCTTTTCTTTTTCCTCCAACAACTGTTGTAATCTCTCTTCTTGTTTTTTTTCTTTTTCTACTTGTTTCTTTTCTTTTTCCTCCAATAACTGCTGTAATCTCTCTTCTTGTTTATTTTCTCGTTCTTCTTGTTTCTTTTCTTTTTCTTCCAACAGCTGCTGTAATCTCTCTTCTTGTTTATTTTCTCTTTCTACTTGTTTCTTTTCTTTTTCCTCCAACAACTGCTGTAATCTCTCTTCTTGTTTATTTTGCTGTTCAAGCTGCCACTGTTGCAGGTTTTTTGCCACTGCTGTTGTCTCTCTTCTTGTTTCTTTTTTTCCCTCCAACAACTGCTGTAATTTCTCTTCTTGTTTCTTTTCTTTTTCCTCCAACAACTGCTGTATTCTCTATTCTTGTTTTTTTCTCGTTCTTCTTGTTTCTTTTGCTGTTCTTGTATTGCTGCCATCAAATCTGCTAAGCTGTAGTTTGATTTGCCATTTCTCATTTCCATCTTCTTCATTTTTTTTCGTCCCACTCTCTGACACCAATTTGTTACGCCTCTGTGTTTGTTTGTTAATTTCCCGGTATAAATTCTTCCCGAGGAACTTCAGAGATACAAGTTCTTTCTTAAATAAAACTAGTTTATTCTTTCTCAATTCAACTTTGCAATACACTTAATTTCCACAGTCACTTTAAACACACGATGTAATTCACAATGATCCATGCACTTACTTGCGGTCACTACCGCGCGGCCCGGCATGGCCAGGTGGTTAGGGCGCTCGACTCGCAATTTGAGGGTCGCGGGTTCGAATCCCCGTCACAACAAACATGCTCGTCCTTTCAGCCGTAGGGGCGTTATAATGTGACGGTTAATCCCACTATTTGTTGGTAAAAGAGTAGCCCAAGAGTTGGCAGTGGGTGGTGATGACTAGCTGCCTTCCCTCTAGTCTTACACTGCTAAATTAGGGACGGCTAGCGCAGATAGTCCTCGTGTAGCTTTGCGCGAAATTCAAAAACAAACAAACACTACCGCGCTTGACTCAATTGTCGATCTTTATCTCTGCCTGTCTGCAATTCAATTCCGATTGTTGCTGTCACTTCTTGGCGGTCTTATATACAAGAATACTGTCCATCTAGTAAACATTCATGAACCTTCGAGAATATCATGACGTGTTACTAGCGTCACGTGACTTCCGCTGTCGTAACAATATGGTAACCGGCTGAATTCACAGATCTCAGAGTTTGTTTTCCATACAGTTAGCATTATCTAAATTAAAAATATAATAAAAAATATCGACATGGACATGGTAAATTAGGTTGACATTTTTTAACCTTTTTAATCGTATGCTTAGTAAATTAGGCTTTAAATACTTGAAATTTACAAAAATACATTTAGAAATAGATAAAGGTGATTTTATATTTTCATGTTCCAAATATATTAGAGGGGTAAGTCTATTAAAAATTAAACAAAACTTGCCAAAGTTAGTACTATTAAACTACTAGTACTATCCTATCCGATGTGTGGTGACGAACAGAACGGCCTTAGGCTTAATATGTTGGCCCCCATTGACTCAAAAACAGTTTGTTTTGAATTTCGCACAAAGCTACACGAGAGCTACCTGCACTAGCCGTCCCTAATTTAGCAGTGTAAGACTAGGTGGAAGGCAGCTAATCATCACCACCCATCGCCAACTCTTGGGCTACTATTTTACCAACGACTAGTGGGATTGACCGTCACTTTATAACGCCCCCACAGGTGAGAGGGCGAGATGTTTGGTGGGACGGAGATTCGAACCCGCGATCCTTAGATTGCGAGTCGAGCGCCCTAACCACCTGGCCATCTTAGAGATCAGATAGCCGATTGTGGGTGAGCTTTGCGTTAAACAAAAACTAACCAACTTAATGTTATTTTTTAAAATTTGTGAACAGATCTTTATAAAGAAAAAAGCAACTAAACTAATTATGTAAAGTTGGAAACATTCAAAAAGGTTTTAACAAATAAATTTCGTGTGATGTATGTAGGAGCGTGGAAGAAAGAGCAACGGTTGTTTTTTTTTTTTGTTTTTTTTCTAGCCAAATTTAAATGTGGATCACACTTCTGTGGCTTTAGTTTTAGCGCTTCAGTCGAGATAAGGTATTGCGTGGTGTAAACACGTAGATGGTCGATGTAAATATATGACAAATTTAGTGATTGACTAACTAAAGAATCCTAGACCATATGTTTGTGTTATTGTTGCACTAGACACTATTAATCAGTTGTGTTTTAGAATGTTTACGTTTTGAAAATGTTTTAACTAAAATTTTAGAATTTTTGAGTAACTTTTGCTAAGGGTAAAAATAAGACGTTTGGACAATTCATCATGAATGAAATAGTAGTTTTGATTCTTCTATCTCTTGCTATGTTTATGTGTTCTTACATGGCAGGAGCTATTCCATTGATTGTAATGCTATCAGAGGTAAGTGACATTTTTTTTTCTCACATTAATTTAAATTTTAAAAAGATAAGTTCCCTAGCTCCTATGTAATTTTAAGATTTGTATTTTGTAACTAAAGTACACATTGGGTTTAACATTAAAAAGGCCTGTCGTATCCAACCCCAAGGCTAGTTGTTGCTTTTCAGTTTCAAGGATTTGATTAAAGCTAAAGTTCATAAAATGTCAGAATGATATATAAATGTGCACTGATGTATAATTATTTAAGAACCAACAGTTCAGCAGATGATCAGTCTTATATATAGGAATTAATAGTTTGTTGAATCAAATCACTTAATACACATAGCTAGGAACTAGTTGAACAGCATTACCTTAAGATATTGAATGACCACTGAATACAATCAGACAAAGATGAGATTGGATGCATGACATTGAGCATATTTCGATGACGAGGAACCCACTTTGAGACTAATAATGGCTGGAGACGGCTTAAATAAATAAAGTTTTTCTTCATTACCCATTTAAGCCGTCTCCAGCCATTATTGAGCATATTTGTTTTATATCTACAGATAAGCTATGTACATGATGGCCGTAGTTTCATTACCATTTATTTTCTTTTACAAGGGACTGCTCTGCCAATTTGTGCCCTTTGTGACACGTAATTCACAATTGCCCAAATTTTCATTTCTAGTTATTGCTATGACTGCCAGTGGTGGCACCATTTTCAACATATTTTTTCTATGGGTTTACCTTTGACAATGGACTGTGTCATTCCAGATTGATGATCTTTTTAGCTTTTTTAATTCAATTAGATGTTTAGACATTATTTATGTACTATTTTCAGTTTTGGGTTTGTTTTATGATATTTTACTTTTGCCTCATTTAATTTTTGTTTGTTTGTTTAGTTTTCCCACCCATTGTCCAGTGCAGATAGCCATATTGCATAAAACAAACCCCAACAACCATCTAACTTATGTATAGGTTAAATTACATTTAGTCTAATACCTCAAATTCTTATTCCTGTGAATAATGAAACATTCAGTCAGTAAAGTACTATTTGCTCCTTTAGAGCTGTTCTTGCACACCCACATTTGAGAAAAGTAAACATTTCATTTTCAGTCTGCCACCCATTATTTTTTAGGAAATCATAGATATCCCTTTTTAAACTTTTGTAAAACTACTTCCAATGGCAATTCATTCCATAAGCTAATCATCCTGTTACAGAAAGTTCTGTGCAATAACCTTGTGTTCACTTGTGTATCATCAAATTTCTTAAATAATACTTTAATTAGTCACAGTATTCCAGAATCAAAGTGGAAATTTATATGGTAGTTTTGTTGTTATCTAATGGATAATACATTGTATTTCTATACTAAGTAAATTGTGAAGCATAAAATGTAATTACATTTATGGGGCTTTTGAGTCCTTTTTTATTCACCATATTGCAATCTAAATTAATATAGGTCCATAATATTATAGCATTTCAGGTAAGATTGAAAGTATTATTTATGACATAGAAACCTAATGCATTTTTTATTTTATTTGCCACATCCTCTGCTGTGGACTGCAATTTTGCCTATTCAAGGCTTATCAGCATTCAAAAGAACTTAAAAACCCTATAAGTGTTATATACACATCACAATGATAAAAGACCCAACTGTATTTCATTGGTTCACTGATCCAAATTGTGCTGATGAGCATCGAATAGACAAAACTACAATCCATAGCAAAGGGTGAGATGCATTAGGCTTCTCTGTCACAGAGTATATTTTCAATTTTATCTTTGGTGAAAAGAAAAGAAATCTGGAATATAATTGTTTTAATTACTCTGTTAAAGTATAAAGAATAATGATGAGAAAACTAGATCATAAATATATGTGCAATTCTGTCACACATTATCGACTACTGGTTTTAAAGTGAAGGTAAACATGATTACATGTAAAAAAAAGTAGTGTATATATATATATATATATAGATACAAGCATTGTACTTTACAGTACTAATGTTATAAAGACATAAATTGCTTTAATTTGTTTAGTAAATTAACATATTGACAAATTCTACCTTCCTGACTTATTTATGTTTTTTATAATATTTTGTTATATGTAACCTTCATTATTTATCTTTTCACAAAGGATTTTTCTGTAATTTGTAGGAGAAATTGCAATTAGTGTCGGTGCTCGGTGCTGGAATCCTAGTTGGAACAGCGTTGTCAGTGATAATTCCAGAAGGTGTCAACACATTATACTCATCTCAGTTAGGTAAATCTTGTCTGTTTATGTGAGCTATTGGAAATTTTCCATTTTAATTCAAATATATTTAATATTTCATGAGAATTTACATGTAAAAAACTTTACTTACATCAGAAACTGTACATCAAAAATGACTTCTTTGAAGCTTAAAGTGTTTGCTTTGATTATATTAATTATTTTTTGGAAAATATGTGTACAAAACATTTGGAAATTTATCATTTAAAAAGTTGTGGATAGAAATCCCTCCATACTAAGTGTGTTATATTTGTTGTGTATTTAAAAGTGTATATAAATAATATAGCTTGCTAATTACTCAAGATTAAAGTTTGAAACTGTCCACAATTGCATTTGATAAATATGTTTTTATGTAAAACCTTTGTTTCAATCACTTTTTATATAAGTATTTTATACAGATGAGCCCTGGTAAAAGGTGCCATCAGCACTGGATATAGCAGATACAGTGTGGTTGACATATTTTTAGATTATATCTAGCATTGTATGTGTGAGACAAATACAGGGTGTCCCAGAAGTCTGGACCCATAGGAAAAATACACAATTTATTCTTAATTTATTTATTATTTAAATTGCTTTCTATTAACAGCCATACACATATCAATTCTTGGTATACTGTGCCATCAGGGAATGCACTTTTCTTGTATGCATGTATAGTATTAGCTGCAGAGCCTGCATATTTACACACTAGGATTGGATTTGGGATTTAACATTTCTGAGAAAATGGATACTCAAAATTCTTATTCCACGGTGCTTTGACAATGAATGTTATATCTCCAACTCATTAAACATGTTGAAAGCTTCTAGTCAGTAAAACTACCTTGACACCGAGCCAATGCAATGTACGCTACAATGCTGATTTAAACATTTCTGTTATTATGAATTTAAAATGATAGCAAACTGTCAGGGATGGCTGGTCCCCCAAACCCCCACCAATATGTACTCTTTAAACTTTTCATTGGAGATTGCATTCATCTATTATGAACATACAAATTTGTTTATTCACTCGATGTTGATTTATTCTGCAAAAACTAAAAATCTGTGACTATCGGGCCTTTGGAATACTGGCAGTCACCGTATATTCTATTATAATAATCTATTTTTTAGTTAATATTTTCTAGTTTAAAGCACAAGGTGTCCCAGAAGTCTGAACCCATAGTGAAATAAGATATTATATTCTTAAAGTTAAACAAACACATTTCTAATGTCAGTTGTACATATTTCAGGAAATAAAAAAGGAGAAATGATGATAAACATTATCCATCATTCATGAGAAATTGAGACCTTTTAGGTTATATCCTGAGATGTTTTTGTCCAAAAATTTCACAAATTTAACCAAAAAATCAATTTAACATTTTAACTGTTAAAAAAATAAATACATATTTGGATTACCAGGCCTTCGGAGTAATGGGCTCTCAGACTAACAGACCATCACCAAATATACATTTAATGTTTTATATATTATTATCTGTAATAAATGATAAGAAACCTCTCTCAATTGGGACTTTAGCCAAGACTTCTAGTTTCCACTAATGTTCTGAAACTATTGCTTTGCTGCAAGGCCCTTAAGTGTCTACCTAACATTTTATTAACATTATTAACAAAATCATTTGGATTTTCATTCAACTTTGGGCTTTTTTTCTGGAAAATCTGCACTGAATCTGTCTTTGAATTAAGATATGCGGCATACATTAGCTTTCCTGATACTCTAGTACTCTACTTTTGTCACAATTTATTCCAACTTTAATTTTAGTAAGTTACCACTTGAATCTATAAGTTAGTTTGTATGCATAGAAAATTTGTTTACTTTATGACTTGCCTCTCGGTGACTCGGCAATAAACTTGAAGTTTCATAATGCTAAAAATTGGGGTTTGATACTTTGGGATTTCTTAATGAGTTGATGCCTGAAACTCCTTCTGAACTAATCATCTATTGGTCGTTCCCATGCTTCTTTACAAGTTAATGGTGAGCTGTGTGCTGTACACGTTAGTGTAAACATGCTTGCTTAACCACATTTACCTAGTTTGGAAGAGATGAAGACTAGTTATCCCACCAAAAAAGTGCATATGGAAATAAGGAGATGCTTGCTAATGAAGGTTCTTAAAAGTTTATTACTCTGTTGTATTAAAGGTAAGATTATATAGTGACTGATGCAACTTGGAAAAATTAGTAATTTATATGCAAGTTAAAATTTTATGATTAAAAAACAAATAATTTGTGATGACTCAGTGGTTTTTTGTTTTGCTCTTTTAGCAATGATACGTGATCAGATTGAGCTGCATAAGCAAGATATGACAACAGACAAGACTAATCACCCAGAAAGTTACAAAAAAGATAATTTGCTTACTCTTTTCACAAACCTTGGGGAGATCCACTCTGTGATTGGAGTTACACTGGTTTTAGGTTTTTTAGTCATGCTTTTAATAGATCAGATTGGGTCAGCATATACAAGAATTTCAAATACAGGTAAACTAAGTTCTGAACAATATAGAATAATATATGCTACTTTATAAACTTGAAACTTTACACTATGCATTGTATTCTTGTATGTGTACATCATAAAAACAGAACAAGGTACATGTTTATTTAGTCAATTTTGCTATTAAAATAATTGTTAATTTTTTTATAGCATTTCAACTACTCGTGTAACAGGCTTCTGTAAGAATAAATTTGATCTATTGTTTGCTCTCATTTCCTTTTTATTATTATATAAAAAATATCTGAAACAATTAAAGTTTTGGTAATTTAAAAAGGTTGTGGTAATGTTACAGTACACCCAAGAATCTAATGACTCTCAGTAATTACATCAGCAGACTGTTTTTTGTTTTCAAATTGCTTGCATTGTATATAGCCAAATTTCAGTTGATATTTCACTTAGATAAAGTGCAGTAAGGTACCTTTTGAAAGATTACCTACCTTTTTTAATGAAGAGAAAAAATGATTGGCTTTTCCCTTTAAAGTCATTTTCTACTGAACGAAAAAAGTATCTTATATTAATACAGTGTTCATAACATTTTAGTATTATAATGATATATACCAGCTAAAAGAAGTGTTAAAAACTGTCCAACATTTCATCAGTTGATGTTTACCATTCTCAAGGGCCTACAAATAATGAACCTAAGTGCCAGCTTGCTTATTCATACAGGAAGAAACAGCCACAATATGGCATGTTGAAAACATGTGGTCAGTGGGATTTCATTGTGCACATTTTGGGAAGTTGGGTG